AACCTAAACCCAAAACTCAAACAAATGAATGGGCCACTTAGCTTTTAGGGCTAGGCCGTAAGACCCTCCGTTAGGCAACTTCTAAGTAAGTCATAAGACCTATTAAACCAAAATCTTTGGGGTACTTCTAAGGAAGCCATAAGACCTACCCAATCAAAATTCTTCTGACAACTCCTAATTGGAGCCGTAAGCCCCAAACTAAACAAACTAATGAGCAATTTCTAAGGAAATCATAAGTCCCCACCCAAATCTAATCATACGGACAACTCCTAATTGGAGCCGTAAGCCCCAAACTAAACAAATTAACGGGCAACTTCTAATTGGAGCCGTAAGCCCCAACTAAACAAATTAACGGGCAACTCCTAATTGGAGTTGTAAGCCCCAAACTAAACAAATTAACTGGTAACTCTTAATTGGAGCCTTAAGCCCCAAACTAAACAAATTAATGGGCAACTTCTAAGGAAGTCATAAGCCCCAACCCAAACTAAACTAAACTAAACTAAAATTCACACATCTCCACTTTAGTCTATTCGGGATTCCTGAGAGGAGGCAACCCAGGCTGCTAATCAGATTCCCTGGACACTGCAATCAATAGTTGTTAGTGTTGGTAGACTGAACATACGGTATGCCCGGGATGACGGAACCATGGGATCTTGATTGGGTGTACCTTCATCCCCCCCCCCCTAACTAAATTTAAATATCTATTGCACATTCTCACACTTCTTGTATGAAGCTAAGTGTATTTCATCCTTAATCGAGAGTGCTCTTCTAATACGTTAGGAGGGATAATTAACAATGAGGGCTTGCACTCATAGGAAGTAGAACCCAAATCTAAATAAATCCTTACACTACTCTCAGGGAAAATCTTGTTAATTATTAAACTCAATCTACCTCCGAAAAAATTAAAGAGAACCCCAAAGTTTGTGAGAGCGGGATTCATATTCATATCTTTAATTTAAAAAGATGATTTTTCCGGAGCGATCAGTAGATTATAATAGCAAGCATCATATATCATATACATCCAATGCAATTATTATTACACTCATTAGTATGCCTGTAGTACATAATATGTTAAACTAAATGAACGGTATATATAGTATGTAATTCATGTCCAAATATAATATATTACCTCCTTATCATTTTACATTTAATATTTTGCTACTCATTTCAATTAAAATAATATATAGATAAAACCACATAGTAAAATTTCTATATTAACCAGTCAAAATGCTCAGAATAATAAAATCCACCACATGTCAAAAGCTGCAAAGTGGAATATCATTAAAACAAGATATATTGCATTTTAATATGTTTTTCAAGAGATAAAATCTAAAATATCAAAGTAAATGAAGACGGAAATAATATTTAGATACATTCAATGATCATAAAACTTTTCTCAATTGGAGCGAAAGACAAAAATGATTAAGAAAATAAACATTCAAGTCCAGCGCTGCAGCGCTCAAGGCCCCAGCGCCGCTTCCCTCATTTATTTCCCGAAAAATCTAAGAGCTCACTATCCCGGCGCTGCCCAACCTGGCGCCCCAACGCTCACACCAACAATTTTTTTTGAATTTTAGAGAAATCAAATTTGGGGTTATTACACCACTCATATGGGTTTATGAGGTCACTATTAATGGTGCAAACTAGTTGGCAGTAGTTTTAACCTAACATAGCCTATGTCTAGGCTAAAATGTTCCTTACAATTTAGGATTCCCTTACTCAAACATATATCTACTTCACTTCCTATAGATTTCCACCAACAAAACATGATGTATGGTGTGCATGCCATCTTGGCCTTAGGACAAGGTCTTCTCAATAGATTTCATCTCAAGACATCGCCTTCTAGCTTGAGAGTTTTAGGATTGAATATCTCATCTAATCTACCATTCAAGGCATTTTCTTAATCAATAGAGTGCTTATTGATCGAGGAATATGAATACCCAAATTTTATGCAATCAATGTGCCATAATTTATTAATTAAAGCTCAGATTCTTTAAATTTTGACATTGTTCATTATCAATTCAAGAATGTCAACAATTAGCTCAGCATCTATAAATTTTTCTCTTGAGGACTTGTATCGCAGCTGTATATCTCGTATGGAATGACTTTCTTACTGCTTCTTAAAGCAACTTTTTAGTACAAAATTTTTAATTTTTATTTTAAAAAATTGCTTTAAGAAGCAATAAGAAAGCCATCCTAAATAAAACCTTAGGCTGAGTGAATTATTCTCAGAACTGTTGTGCTTGTGAACAACCTTCAGAAAAAAATACCAAAAAAAGTTTTATATGAACATAAATTGGAATGCCACAAAGGGCATTACAGAATCATATTTGTTGCCTTTTTCCCATAATCAAAACGTTACTTTCAACAACATCTCTGCCCCCATTGATTAATTTTTGCTGGTTCACAAATCCTCTACGTATTCAAAGAAGAGAACGACGGGACTCTGATACAAAAGGATATGTTAACAAACAAGACTGAAACACAAATTTGATATAGATAGGATTCGATCATTTGATTTCGACAACAACTTCTTTATTCTTTTCAACTAAACTAATTTGCAATAATGTTTTACAGGTCAGAAATACAAATCATTACCCATTTATATTCATTAATTTAACCAGTCAGTAAAAATGAACAAAGAGCAGTATCATTTTTTTTTTTAATAATTTATGATGCATCAGCATCCTTTTGAGGTTCTGCATTCATAAAGTCTCAGGTCTAATTTTTTTCTCTTATCATTGTTCTATGAGAATTTGACTCTTGACAAGAAAAAATTATTTTGTGCGGATGCCAAACGCCATCCGGAGAAGAACCAAAATGTGTCACGTCACACTGTGTTTGGTACCGGAGCTCGGTACTACTTGGTACCGCTGATGTGGTGCATTCTAGTTGGTCTCCGGACGGCGTTCTGCGCCCGGTCTCCACACATAATAATTTATCCTTAACATGTCACAATGGAAAAAAAAAAAAAAAGATTCATGTAGCCGACCCCACATGGTGGGATAAAGGCTTGTTGTTGTTGTTGTTATAATACTGTTCTATATGAGTAAAATTCAACCATATTTTCTAGGCAACTGAGCTCTGTAAAAGTCTTAAGGCTTCAATTTTTTCTTAATACTTTCATTTGCATGTACTTAAATAAAAAGAATAGAAGAGAATAAGCAAACTCAAGGAATCACTAACAGTTGGTTTCAATGCAGTTTTGGCAAAATGAAAGGCAAATTTTGTCATAATATGTTCAAAATTTGGATGTTCTCAGTTATTACATTTATGTTAATATCAGATATGGTATCTAAGTGGAAGAATATGAATATGCAAAGTATTTTTTAAACTAATGGATGTTCAAAGAGGAAACTAATCCATCCATATCAGGAATACTTTTTCACATATGAAGTCTTATTTTTTTTTTAACAGTTAAGAGAACAACACTAAATCTAAGAAAGCGTGATTCCAATGCCTTAATATGATTAAAAAAAAAAGTCTTATTATGTTGTTTACTTAATAATAATATCTACTGCTCAACATTGTCATGATAGCTTGACCACTTCACATCTTCCTCAAGGAATAGATTCAGAGTCTATTTGGGATAACTTTCTTACTGCTTTCTTTTTTATACTGCAATCACAATTCTATTTGGTTATTGCTTTCTTGCTATTTAAGAAAAAAAATTGCAATTTTTTAAAAAGTTACTTTTTTCACAATAACTTTATCATTACCTTTATAAAAAGCTATAGTCATCCCAAACAAACCCTTAAAAGAAATGGATCAAAGATCGATGAATATAACCAAGCTTATCCATATGAAAGACCAACAAATCAAAAAAAAAAAAAAAAGAGGGAAAAAAAAAAAAAAAAAAAAAAAAAATGTATATGATTAAAGAAAAATACAGAAAATGGTAAAGTTAAGTCTTGTAAAGAAGGAGAAATTATTGGGAAGCTTTAGCTCAATATTCTCTTATGAGCTAGTCAATTTTTTCTTATCTTCATTACTTTAACGTAATGAGTTTATATTATCATATCTGTGTAGAATAATGTAGACCACTGCTCACAAGAGCTATGTTCACATAATAGTTGTTAGCTTTGTGCATAATCTAATTATGCCGATCAATCAGGTTGTATTGCTGCCTTGGGCCTCAATTCAGTATGTCAGGCTTACTGGAGGTTGTAGGAAGTTCTCCTCCTACATGGGTTCTTGTGATTTGCACTCAAAAAAATATTTTCCATACAATGCCCCGACGTTATGTACTCAAGCACCCTGGCACTATATGGTTTGGTGGAAAAAGACATAGAGCGGAGCCCTATAGCACTCCAAACCTCAACACAGCTGCGCTGCCAAGGGGTGTTGTGGTACTCTAGACCCCGGCACTATGGCACAGTCATACAGACATCATACAATAGAATTGAACAATATTTTCTGGTTTTTAGTGTGTGTCTCTTGGTTTGTTCTTGTGTAAAAAATGTGCTTGAGAGAAGAGAGACAAGGTAAGAGTGAGAGAGAAAAGAGATATGCACTAGTTCCCAATGTTCATAATAGATTTCTAGCTGTGATATGGTTGTGTGGTTTTTTCCTGATTTTGGATTTTTCCACATTAAACCCTGGTGTGTGTGTTTTTTTCTTTCCACTGCAATTTTCTATTTCTATTTTGTTTCATTGCGTGGTTTACTTCTCCCCAACAGTAGTTTCTCCTAAAAGGGAGAAAAAATCATGAGAAGCCTTCATGCACAAGAGAGAATCTTGCTTTATGTTCTTAGTCAATAGAGAAAAGAACTAAAGTAAAACAAAAACATCTTCAGAATTTAGCAAGTTCTTCTCTTGCACAATTCGACCTCTTTGAGATAATATTTACATTATTCAAATGTTTGTAAGATCAAATGGAATTGAATTTAGTTCCTTTACACTTTGTAAAGAACCTCTTATCTCTTTTCATTGAAATCAATATTATAAATGCGTGAATCAAGGAGTCAATAAAAAATGCCTTGGCTTCTAATTCTGTTCTTGATGTATGGGGATGGCTCGTTAGCCTTCCTCCAGCCTCATAATGGAATTCAGATACCCAATGCTTCTGCATTTATAGATCAGAACCATCTCAGCCATCCTTGAACCTTAGAGTCATTAGAAATATTCATGGCCATAACCCACATGTAATTTTCTCCCTTACAGCATATTTCAACTCTCACATAACTCTTTGATCTTCTAATTCCTTGCACATCAAAGAAATCATAGACAAGTCTTTTGATTCAAAAACCATGCAGCTTCTTCTATGTGGCATAATTGCAGGGGTCCTCAAATATGAATCATACAAGAAATCTTCCATTTCTATTCCTGGAATGCTAATTGACAAGGATTGCAAAGATATATTCAACCTAGCTCTTCTTACTTTAGCTCTCCTAGTATCAGAGTATGTATCTATGAAGCTCCCCAAGATCTACGATTTCGAAGCATAGAAGAATTGAGTCTTCGATTATACAGAAGAAACTCACAAGAATCAATGAAGCAACTGGTAAGAATCCTTGGCTCCAACCTTGAAGAACAATGGATGAGATCAGTGAACTTAGGCCATAACAAATTGGATCATGGAGAACAGGAGTTCAAATCTATCTTTAAGCTTGCCATCACCTTTCTTTGCTTAATCCTTTTCAACTGTTGGGCTATGGAAAGTTCAACTATATTGCCCAATTACAGCCATGATTTCCAACAATCAAGGTAATAACACACATGATAGCCGTTTGAATTTCTCTCTGAACTACCAACAGCTTGAAGGTGTGATACAATTCACTTACAAAGTCATATTTCGCGAGTACTGGATTGATGTGGTGGTTAAAGTAGATAATATAAGGTTTGTATTAGTTTCAAAAGAGTTTATCTATTTTCATATAGTTTTTAAAATACAACAGCTTCATTTTATTCTTTACAGGTGTGATGTGAACCAGCTTGTTTCTGAAAAGTTGATGTCAAAACAAGGCTATGGATCTGAAGAAAAGCACTTCCCTTCCCGAATCTTGCTGCAACTAGCCCCAACTCTTCAGACTGATGTAATTTCAGTTTCAGTAAGTAAATCTTCTGATAACCCACTCCATGAAGTTGGAGTAGAGAAAGGAGTTGAGGGCTCATTTGAACCACCAGGCTCCTATTTGGGGCTTAAAGTTTCAGCGTCTGAAACTGTTACTCTGGCCATTAAACCATGGAAGTTTGAGCAATCTGTGCATGGAGACAGTGCTGCCTTGAATTGGTTTCTTCATGATGGAGTCAATGGAAGGGAAGTTTTCTCCACAAAGCCACCAAAAATGGCAATTTTTCGACCAAGATCATGGTTTAGAAACCGCTACTCGAGCGCTTATCGTCCTTTTACAAGACAAGGAGGGGTGATTTTTGCTGGAGATGAATATGGAGAAAGTGTGTGGTGGAAAATATGCAGGGGAGGAAAAGGCAAGAGAATGGATTGGGAGATCTGTGGTAAAGTGTGGTTAACTTATTGGCCTAATAAGCATAGGACCTTTTACAGTGAAACAAGGATGTTGGAGTTCAAAGAATTGCTGCATATAAATCTTGAAACGTAGAATAAGATTTGTGTTCTTTGGCAGGGATGCTACTTGATTTATGAATAGAATGGCAAAACAATAAGCTCTTTTTGTGCGCATAGACTCTCTTTAACGGGAGATTATTCTGTGCAGACACGGGACAGGAGAACCGTCCAGTTATGTTTGGTACCGAGCTCGGTACCGAGCGGTGCCGAGCGCGGTACCGAGAGGTGCCGAGCGCGGTACCGAGCTCACTACCCGAGCTCAGTACCGAGCGCAGTACATTGTTGGGGTGACGTGGTGCATTTTTGTTGGTCTCCGAACCACATCTAGATTTCGTACCTAATAATTTGCCCTCTTTAACATCAATTCTTCATGCATCCGTTTTATTGCATGTAATAATATTTTTTCATGAGCACCAAGCAGTGGCTTGGCTCTCAAAATTGAATTCATAATGCACAATTTTTTAAATAATTTTTCAGCTCAAGAGCAATCGAAATTAGAAAAATTAATTTGAGCATCACAAAATCTCCATTTTTAGCAAATTTCTTGTCAAAATGACTAGCTCGATGAGAAGGTTCTTCAAATACAAAAGAAAATTAAATCCGAGTTCAAATAACCTAAAAGACCAGCCCAAAAGAATAATTAAAAGTTTTTAAAATTATTTAAAGCGTCTAATGAACTATGATTTTTGTTAATTATATTCAAAAAGAACCTTTTATTGATATGATTCTAAAAAAATCGGAAATATATATATATATATATATATATGGGTTCATTAAGGAACAAACTAGTCGAAAAAAAGGAAAAATTATAAAGGAGCACCCTTTATTTTGTTCTCCATCCACACGTCCATATTTATAACATATATGCAATCTCAAGAACATCACCAATGGAGGTGCCACCAAGGGCGGAATCCTCTATAGTTGAGTGGGGTAGATGAGGGCGGCAATTGCCCCCTCTAAAAATAAGAACTTTCAGTATAATAAAGGTTAGTTGATACTTTATCTCTTGCTTCTTATTTTTTGCCCCAACTAAGATTTTTTTCACATTTTTCCCCCTCCAAAATCGGAAAGCCTGCTTAGTCTCCCGCACGCTAGTATAATGAATCGCTCGCAGGCCGTTTTTTTTCGCTCCCTCTTCCGTTCTGCCTATAATGTCGCTCGACTACTCTCTCGTCCGTTTCGTCTGCAATGCCTCTCGACGACTCAGCTCTGGTCCACCTAGGTTGGGGCTGAATCTAATAGTGTTGGTCAACTTAGATCTACGGATGCCATGGTGTTGACCTCACTCTTTGCATGAGGTTCATCAATCAAGACTAAACCCAAAATCAAGATCAAATCCAAAATCTCAAACTTAAACTCAAGGCCAAAAGCCCATGTTTTATAACCCTTTTGGGGTGATTTTTCAATCACCTCAAAACCAAATCAAATGATCTTGGATTCATGATTTTTTAGTTGCATATTGATTATGCATGTCTCTAGGGCCAACCCTATAAATTTGAGGCCAATCCAAGTTCTCTAACCCCTAAAACTGAATTGAAATTCAAAGACTGTAAAACCTTCAAATTTTTATAATTTATGCAACTAGACCTTCCACCCTATGGAATTTGATCTTGGGACCTCCTCCAAAACCTTCCAAAATGTCCATAGCCATCCTCATGACATGTTAAAACCATAACTAAATTTTTGGTGTGCCCTAATTATAACTCAATGTTGACCATGGGTCTACTTGACCCTATAGCCCCTTAAGGGGAAAGTTGGAGTTTTCCCTAAACTTCAACATGGCTCAACCATATCAAGCCATGAAACCATTTCCAATGCATCCTAGGCATCATTAGGAGTGCATTTAATACAAATCCAATCCTTGCTTTGACTTAGTTGACTAGGTCAACCATGGTTAACCAAGGTGTCTCCTAAGGATTTAAATAAGCTTTTCAAATCAAATGGCATTCTCTTGGCTTGATAACACCACTAAAATCATCAAAGTGAATGTTTTGGACCTAACTCAAACCCTTGGCCAACCTTGGTTTACCAAGTCAACCCTGGTTGACCAAATCAACCTTACACTAAACCTATGCCAAATTCAACACTCCAAGCTTTGCCAAGCCAACCTAAAACCTTGGAGTTGCTCATTAGGTCCATAAGACTCTGTTGACCCCCTATTACTTAAACTATGTGCAAAAAGGACAAAGGTGGCGGGTCGAGCAAGGCGTGGGTTGATACAATGCATCACTTAAAGGGTCAAACGATCTCTGATTGCCAAACGGATGGCAAATTTTGCTAAGTTGAGGCCCGTCAAAATCGAGTCGGATGAGATCGGTCAAAAGGGACGACCGACACCCGAAATTAAAGTGTGACGCTGATTAAACGACGTCGGATTGACGAACAGATTTCGCCATTACGACCGGAATATTGTGAATACTAAAAAAAAACTACGTCTTCTATGTTTAATTTGGATCATCCAAATTGGTGGCACAAATTTCGAGACAAAACATGTATATCAAGAAAATTGGCCTCGGCGTTGACGAAACAAAGTCTGATCGAAAAACAAACTTCGCCACTACATTCAAAATATCCTAAATACTTACAGATGACATCCAATTTATTCAAATTAAAGCATGCGAGGTCAACACGCATTTCGAGGTAAAGCACAAATTTCAAGAAAAGTTTACTTGACTCTACCCAAATGACGCCAAATTGACGAACGGACTGCGTCGTTATGTTCGGAACACCAAAAATACCATAAATGCACTACCAATTTATTTAATTGAGGTGGTGCACGCAAATTGAGGTGGTCCCCATGCAAAATTACTCTTGGCATGCTCAAACGATGTCCGATCGTGAAACGGACTGCATCGTTGTGTCCGGGACATCGGTAATGCTCTAAATGCACTGCCAATTTGTTTAGTTGAGGTTGTGCACGCATATCGAGGTGGTCCATTGCAAAAATTGGCCTCGGTGTTACTCAAACGATGCCCGATCATAAAACGGACTGCGCCGTTGTGTTCAGAACACTAAAAATATCTTGAATACACTACCAATTTATTCAATTGGGGTGGTGCACGCAAATCGAGGTGGTCCCCATGTAAAATTACCCTCAGCATGCTCAAACAATGTCCGATTGTGAAACGGACTGCATCGTTGTGTCCAAAGAATCGGCAATACCCTAAATGCACTATCAATTTGTTTAATTAAGGTTGTGCACGCAAATCGAGACGGTCCAGTGCAAAAATTATCTTCGGCATCACCCAAATGACGTCCGATCGAGAAACGGACTATGTCATTGCGACCGGAACATCGACAATACCCTAAATCCACTACTAATTTGTCTAATTTTGATGTTCGGTAAAATTGACACATTAAATGATGCGATGTGCACGAATATCAAGAAAATTAGCACGTAAATCCAGGCAATCTTCTGACCCGATTAATTCTGTATTGTCATATTAAATTAACGCTCAAATGACCAAGCACCAATATAGCTTTTAGTTTTAAAAAAGAAATTTCAGCAAAAGCGGGAACTAATTAGAAAAAATAGAAAGTCAAACACATTAAATGCAATACCTCGTCCAGACAAATACTTTGTTATGTCAATCCTTAATGACTGCTTACCTTCACCTCCACCTTGCGTGGTTAAATCAAAGCAAATGCAAGCAAAGTAGAGATTGCTTTTGGCTTCGACTCTTTAAGGCAGAAGATCGTCCACTTCAAAAAAAAAAGAGGGAGGCCTTCAACAAATCGTCATCTCCCACTACCTCAACTCTTCCGCTGTCCGCTCTGCCTCCAACAAAAACTCACAAACATTTCTTCTGCTTGCTGCCTTCACTCTTGCCGGATTCAAGCAGGTGGACTCCACACCTGACGACTCTTGCCGACGAGATCCAACGACGAAGCCTGCTCTTCCAAGTAGCTCTATCCTTATACGCACATCTAAAGCTGTGCAGAGCCAAGGACTGCCTTCTCCAATAGTCGTAAGTGTGCTGGCCAGACAAATCAGCCCCCCTTTATATGAAATTTGCCAGTCGGAGTTCTCTAGGTGGAAATAGCAGCATGCCTTTCACGCCTTTCACGTGAACTTTAACTTTTATTATTTAATTAGCTGCTCAGCTTAGAACAAGCCTTCAAAATCAACACCTTTTCTTAAACACCAGCTCAAAGTAGCCAGCACAGAAAATCCTTCTAATCAAATTCAAATTTATCTTGATCTTATTGTTATTTTGGATACTAATCATTGTCACATACTGATAATACCAAGGAGCACTATTAATCATTGGTTTTTGCGTGGACAGAGAGTACTACAAAGAAAGAGCCCCAAATTTATTTCTGGAAGAATGGGGACATTTTTAAAGAAATGCTTAACCAAATGCATTAATATGCAATTCACTGTGCTGTATCTGAGAGATTGGATTCGGAATGTTGATGGTGGCCGGAATAGTTCTTGAAGCTTTTGGTTAAGGCTATGTTTATGGTTTTGGAATCTGGCATTTTCTGTTGATGCCGTTGTATGCGGTTGTATGAGATTATCTAGTCTTCTTTTTGTTATTGGGATTACTGTGAATCTGGAGCTCCCTCTGTTTTTTTGGCTGTATTTTGGGAATGTGGACAATCTGAATGCTTGGGATTGTTTTCTTCTTGAAGACTTGCTTTGCTGGACTGTCTTCATCAGGATTTGGTGCTGGTTATACAGTTCTGTAACAATCGGGTTGCCTTCGAGTATTGATGGTGCGACTTTTTGGCTTAATTGGATGGGATTTTTTTATGCCTCGGACGATGATGTTTTCCCGTCCAGGCATCCCTTTGGACGGCCTTCGGGCAACCAAGGGAGCCAATTTTTGATGACGCAACATTTTGCGAGAGCTATTTTATACCTGAGTCCAGGCATTTTGCATTTTGTGTTTTGTTATTTTGTTTTTTTTATCCTTCTTTATTGGGCTTTGCCATAGGTCTTGCTTTTTAGCATTGTCGTTGCTGTAGAGCACTTGCTCCTTTTTGTTTGAGTTATGTTGCTCTCCTTTTTCCTTACTCTTTTACTTGTAATTGTTCCTTTTTATG